ACTGATACTGATACTGATTCTGATACTGATACTGATACTGATAATGATGAAACTGATACTGATGATACTGATACTGATACTGATACTGATACTGATAATGATGAAACTGATACTGATGATACTGATACTGATACTGATACTGATAATGATGAAACTGATACTGATGATACTGATACTGATACTGATACTGATACTGATAATGATGAAACTGATACTGATGATACTGATGATACTGATACTGATACTGATACTGATACTGATTCTGATACTGATAATGATGAAACTGATACTGATGATACTGATACTGATACTGATTCTGATACTGATACTGATACTGATAATGATGAAACTGATACTGATGATACTGATACTGATACTGATTCTGATACTGATTCTGATACTGATACTGATACTGATACTGATACTGATACTGATAATGATGAAACTGATACTGATGATACTGATACTGATACTGATACTGATACTGATAATGATGAAACTGATACTGATGATACTGATACTGATACTGATACTGATACTGATACTGATACTGATACTGATAATGATGAAACTGATACTGATGATACTGATACTGATACTGATACTGATAATGATGAAACTGATACTGATGATACTGATACTGATGATACTGATACTTATACTGATACTGATTCTGATACTGATACTGATACTGATACTGATGATCCTGATACTGATGATATTGATACTGATGATACTGATACTGAAACTGATACTGATACTGATACTGATACTGATACTGATGATACTGATACTGATACTGATAATGATACTGATGATACTGATACTGATAATGATGAAACTGATACTTATACTGATAATGATACTGATGATACTGATACTGATAATGATGAAACTGATACTGATGATACTGATACCGATACTGATTCTGATACTAATAATGATGAAACTGATACTGATGATACTGATACTGATACTGATAATGATGAAACTGATACTGATGATACTGATACTGATACTGATACTGATACTGATACTGATACTGATAATGATGAAACTGATACTGATGATACTGATACTGATACTGATACTGATACTGATACTGATACTGATAATGATGAAACTGATACTGATGATACTGATACTGATACTGATACTGATAATGATGAAACTGATACTGATGATACTGATACTGATACTGATACTGAAACTGATACTGAAACTGAAACTGAAACTGATACTGATACTGATAATGATACTGATGATACTGATACTGATGATACTGATACTGATACTGATACTGAAACTGATACTGATACTGATGATACTGATACTGATGATACTGATACTGATACTGAAACTGATACTGATACTGATATTGATGATACTGATACTGATGATACTGATACTGATACTGATACTGATACTGATACTGATACTGATACCGATACTGAATATTACATAGCAGACCCCCCAGAAAATGATTTTATATAAATTGCTATATTTTCAGATGAACTGCAATTTTGTCTGTTCATCATGATCCAGTTCAAGCTTATCTGAATTTACAGCAAAATATAAATATAATTACACAGGCTAATAGATAAAAGCCTGGAGATTAAAAATTAATGAAACTAAATCAGTTCACAATTATTTTACTCTGAATCGAGATTCTTGTCCTCCTGTCACAATAAACAACATTCAAGTTCTGGAATGAATGAGGTTAAATACTTGGTTTTCCGTTTAGATCCGAAATTAACGTGGAAAACACACATTTGGAGAAAACAGCCACTAAATTTCAAATCCAATCACTTAAATTGGCTCATTCTAGGAAATAAATTAATGTGGACATGCGGAGAGCGACTTTGGGGATCGGAGAGTAGGCCTACGTTCAAATATAGAAATTATCCAAAGATTCCAATAAAAAATGTCGAAGAAAATAACCAATGCACCTTGGTACGTCATTAATAGAACACTACATAAAGACCTTAAGATACCCACAGTCAAGGACAATTCATATACAAACAAACATCCTCTTTTATACTTATAGATTTTGTAATAAAATCATATGATGGGCTTAAGTAGCATCAATCAAGTATAATAAGTAACACATAGAGTTACAGTAGTGTCAGATACATAAAAAAAATAAAATTTCATAAAGCAAAAGTTGAGAAACGTAGCGAGTGCCGTTCTATTCTTTGCCATGGGGATCATAAAATTTCAAACCCGTCAGGTAGGCCCGAGTGCCATTTGACTCTACAGAGCGTAGTGATTCAGGGGTGGGGTATTAGTGGATGGGGGTGTATTGGGAAGAATGAAATGGAGACCGAGTACAGTTTCTTAACTGGGCTACCCTAATATTGATTGATGATATCGATTCGATTGGTAAACTTTCATTCAATTGTTTCATAATCAACAAGTTTGGTTAGGTTAGGTTTAATGGTGATCTTATGATCTTAATGGCAACTTAAAAATCTTCCAACAAGTGAGGTATCGTTAAGATACATTTCAACTCCTGAAGTATTGGTATGAATATATGTGTAAACGTTTGAAATATTGCAAGAAGTCTCTAAATGTTTCGTCGCGTACTCAGTGAGTGTTACAGAATACGCCTATGGTGATTTTATTTGTGAGATTTTGTAATAATTTAGTAATAATTTCCAAATCCGATGCCATTGGTGTAGCTATTAGACAATGAGGCTGTCCTGGTGTCCGGGTTTAAATCCCAGTAATCACCATCGAACATTTACTAAAGAATACTTTGTTTACCTGGTGTGTTGGAGCATAACTTGAGATATCGAATTCCACTTTCCAGTGAACGTTATGAATCGATAGAGGAGATCTGCCTCAATAAAAGAAATCTACCGTCACGAAACGTACAAATATTTTTACATGGATCAACGTAAACTTTGCATCTAAACGTTTTAAATAGGCAACTTCAACATATTTTAGAGATGCTTCGAAAAACGACGGCTTAAGATGTAAGAATACTTCTAATGCTGAGCTTTAGACGAGTAGAATGAGTTGAGCTTTGACTTTTCTCATTTTAATACTTTGCAAGCTGTAAACTAGGATTTATTGCTTACTACATGTTAGTTCTTTGTAATGAAGAACTTGTTTTCAAAGTCCTAAAGATCAGCAAAAGACTCCTAGCATTGCACTGATGCAGAACACATTACGACGGCAGATCTAAATTAGCTTATAAGTACGATATGGTTAATTGAAACTTAAATTGTAATATCGCAAGCTGTTTATGATTGGTTTTCTAGTGCAAAGTTGAAGAACTAATGTTTATTGATAGTATTAAAATGGTGTAAATACCTGCTTCGTGGTAATCCTAATGTTGCTAGTGTCGCAACTAGTTTCGACTTTTTACAAAGTCATCTTCAGGCGAAGGCGTCAAGGATGTCAAATGGTGGTCACTTCATATGAAGGTCGTCATTACATAAAAACACGAACACGAACACGGACATTAACACGTAAAAACGGTACATTTAACACGATTAAACGAACAACGGTAACTGTAAAGGAATGATGTGACACGACCGGGATGGATGCAAGGTCTAGAGAGTCTAGTCTAGACCTTGCATCCATCCCGGTCGTGTCACATCATTCCTTTACAGTTACCGTTGTTCGTTTAATCGTGTTAAATGTACCGTTTTTACGTGTTAATGTCCGTGTCCGTGTTCGTGTTTTTATGTAATGACGACCTTCATACGAAGTGACCACCATTTGACATCCTTGACGCCTTCGCCTGAAGATGACTTTGTAAAAAGTCGAAACTAGTTGCGACACTAGCAACATTAGGATTACCACGAAGCAGGTATTTACACCATTTTAATATATTCAACGTAATCCGGAGGCTAAATTCTAAAATGAAATTTATTGATAGGTTTAAATTTACTTAGTAAAACATTGAAAAAATAACACTACTATAGTGTTATATATTCAATGGTTAAAGACAAAAACTGGGACAGGAAAATAAACAGAACCCAAATTTAGTTTCACCTTCACACAATTATTTTAACCTTCAGTTTGTCGAGACTAAACCTGTTTCTTTAACCTATGGTTTGTTGTGTATTTTCAATATCAGTAGATGGATGATTGTTATGTGTCGGTAATTGATACACAATGCTACATGTTTTTGGTAGAAATAAAGTGTAAAGCTGTTCAAATTTCCAGTGTGTAATAGTTAGTTATAGTAGGTAGTTATTTTCACTTAACATTCACTGATTGATGGTTGCATGTTTTCGTTTGTAATTTTGAAAATATTGGTTTGGGTTTTAAAAGGTTTGTATCCTAGGCATACATGACATGCTCTTCCAGAAAATTACCTCACCATTTAATCAATCATCATTTCATCATTTGATCATTTCAGTCGCGGTGAAAGAGGAAGCCAATTCAGGAAATGATACGAAGTTTGCAGATTGCCATGACACAAAACTGATACGAAGTTTGCAGATTGCCATGACACAAAACTTATGTGAAAGGCAGTTTGATTTTCAGAAAAGGTAATTAAGCAACACAAACTATCGCTTATTAGAGTATAATGCCAAATACAGTACAGCGGTCCCAATCTAAAACCATCAAAAGGCCAGTGAATTGTCTAGGGATTAATTCGGAAACCTACTGTTTACTAGACGAGCACTATTAAAGAGTGTGCGTTTTTAGGATATGTTATGAATAATCTAACGGTATCTAAGTTGTAAAGATCGGTTTGAAAACAACCAAGATATAACAATTTATGAGACACCGTGTTTATGAATGTTATGATGTTTTAATTTTTTCCCCAGATGTTAACATTAGACTTATGGGACTAGGATTCAAGATGGCTACCACTGATGACGACTCTGAACACTTGTATGCATAATGATGACTATGACAAATCGATACTCAATCGAAAAACTGTCAAACTATCCAAATTATAAAATATTTGATGGGTTTAACCATCGATAAACGCGCGAGCAAGTGTAACTAAGTCGTCCATCACTTATAAAGTGACAATTTAATAACTACACTAGCAACTTTTGAACATGGCGACAATTGTTGTCGACTGAGCAGCGTTCATAACATCGTCAACACTGAAACTGTCTGCTAACTCAAGGTAAGCTGGCATCCTTTGTAGAATTTGTCCTTATTTATGGTTTTAAAATTTTGTAAACTGATAACTCTATTATTCTGTTGACGATATACTTTTCAAATAAAATATAAGAACCGCAACAAAGATGTAATTGTTAGTAATTATTAAAGATGTAAAGATGTAGTAAAGATGTAAAGATGTAGTAAATATGTAATTGTTTTTTGTAAGTCTAACACAATAATTGTAGCTTAACACAAGGATCATACACATAGTTATAAGTACTTGTAAAATGATTCAAATTGAAAAAAGTGTAACATTTGAGGACTTAATTACTGTACAAGTATGTGTGGAATGATTTATAACTTTTAACCAAAATTTAGTTTGTCACATACTAATATTACATTGTTGATTTAATTGAGTTTTATAGTCTTGATTTAACTCTCAAAATATTTAAGTTTGGTTATAGGCCTAATTAATTGAAAAATAACCTTATAAGCATTGAGCATCTCAAAGCTAATTTTATTAAAATGAAATATCTTGAACAAATATTACATTTCTTGAATGAAATGTTTTATCTTACTAATATTATAAATGTGAAAGTTTATGTGTTTGAAGTTCAATCACGCATAAACCACTGGACGGATTGGGATGAAATTTGGCATGATGATAGCTTACATTCCCGATTAATATATAGGCATATTCATTCTTATCTCAAAAATCCTTTCGGGCTCCGCCCCAGTGGCTCTGTAATTCCCCATGTAAACCTTATGAGTATTCATATTTAAAGGGAATTAAAGAATTTAGTCAGCTGTTTCAACTAAAAAAGTTGGTTCATGATATGGAAAAGCATTAAAAAGTTATAAGATTTACCAACAGGGTGCAGCACTTTTTTTTGCATTTATGAAAACAGCTAATTTGAACTAAGCAGCAACAAAAAATTGTGATTCGCAATGAGAACCTGTCAAAGTAGGATATTTTACAGTTATGTTTATGTTTTTCATTTCATGAATAATTTGTGATATTTTGCGAATTGTTGATAATTTATTTTTCTCTATTGTTTAGGTGAAGTGGTAGAACATTATGGCTATGGTAGATGTGTAATACGATAGAATACTGTAAATTTAAAAAAGCAAATTTTATCAAACTGTGTCCTCCCTTATTGCAAATGCAAAGCTTGAGTATAACTGCAATAAGCATTTTATACTTATATTCCAACCCCGTACGAAGGACGGGTACTCTGCTACTTTATCAATATACATTTTCTGTTTTAGTTGTTTCCAGAGAATGCAGTTGGCTGAATAAGCTGATACTTTTTAACAAGACCTAACAATAGCCTAAATATTTGTTTCTTAGAATTGTTTTTTTTTTTTTTGAAATTTTATTGTATTTATTCACGAAGAGGGTTATTTCAAATTTATTAAAAGTTATTATACTGTATTCCAATCGTGTTTAAAAAAAATCTTGTTGGAAACATTTGCTTGTAATTTGTCAGCCAGGTGAAAACAACGGTATTTATATTTTTTCCTATAATATAGGAAATTTGTTTAATCTTTTTACAATCGTTTTACTGTAAAAATTGAATTTTACTGTACAATTATTTTAAACATTATCCAGTTAAGGACGAGATAAACATATATTAAATTTAATAGTATTCTATGTCAAAATATATAATTTAAGATATTGCTAATTTTTATCACAGTTATTCTATTATTTATGTATGTTATGAAAGAGCCAATAAATGATATCAAATATATCCTTTGTACATTGAAGAAATAAATCAAGTGTGTGTGTAGGCTAGTTGTGTTTGACTTACAAAAATCTATCTTAATTTCTTGTAGTTCCTGTTAACAGTGTTTCGTTGCGAATACTTCGTGCTAAAATACTGCGTAAAATTTGATTAAAATTTCAGCCTGGTAACAACAAATTTTTAAGTGTAACTCTAAACACTAGGGTTTCGATCAATAACCAGTACTTTGTATATTATTTGTTTTTTTCTTAAGCGAAGATTTCATTACAAAAATTAAAATTATTACTGTATATTGATGCAGTAGCTACGAATAATTAGAACTATTTAAATGGTATAGATGTATAAATATCGGGAAGTTAAAACTTTTATTTTTAGAGGGGGTTTTTCAGAACCTAGAATTGTTTTAATGTTTTAGTAAAACATAGAGTAGTGGGAAGTTAGACAGTATATTTTTATATAAAAATGCGTGGAATTCAAATCTGGAAGAATTAAAAACGGACATTTTAATTTTTGTACTTTTGTAATTGTTTGGATCTAGTTTCTATCTGTGAGCCCCGTATGGAAAGAAAGACTATAATTAAGTTTAGTAGTGACTTAGCGATCAAAGATAAACTAAATTATATAATTAGTCGTGAATACGAAATGAGTATATTATAGGTTTGAATGATTATGAAATAACTCACTATAACATGTCAAAGTACCAGCTCCTTTAGAAATGTATAACCTAAACTGAAAGTTAATGATAGAAGAATAATATTGTGAATTTGTTCAGTTTGTTGGCGAAAATGAAAATGGTGTACAACACCTTAATGGTCGTCCTCTTCGTATTCGCCGTACAAAATATTTCTGTTTTGATGGCGGAGGGTGCAAAAAATGTTGATGAACCAAAAGAACAAAAGGGAGGAGTGGGAAAACCAAAAGATGGAAAGGCCGAAGAAGAAGAGGAGGATCCTATCGAATTCGCGGTAAAAACAAATCCTTTATCAGTAATAACAAAAGCTTAGCCACCGATATTATTGGATTGTAAATGTGTAGATAATATGAATATGAAGGTTTTTTTTTACTGACTAAGATAAAAAATCTTTAAATACCTGCTATCAAGCAATCCATTCATATAGCAAATGCAGCTAGTTTCAGCTCCTATGTGGATCCATAATCAGTACAAGGACTTTTGAGTCCGGGCTCAAAGTCGTCCATTGAGCTAGACTCCGTTAGCTTCGCCTTTTATCACACTGTAATTGATAAGTTACTGTTAATGTTTCGTATCCGAGTTTATGTCGTATTAAAATATTTATTTTGTTAAACGTAACGCTCTTCATATGAAGAAAGAAACCGAGGGGGTCGCCGGAATTCTACCCCCGGATATTTACCCCCATGAAAAAACGACTACGTCATTTTGACGTCACGATGGGCGGGGCCTATACACGGTCGAGAAACTGCCCGCGACTGGAAATCTACCCCCGGAAATCCACCCCCCGTGGTCAGCTCTGCCACGTATCGGCCAATATTCATTGTTGTAATTGATTTTATTAATTGTTTTGTGTAAATCAACGGCTCTTCGGTTAATCATTACCCTCTAATATCTAGTATTAAGCATGTGATATGTCATTGTATTGTTTAACATTATCTTCTTCCTAATGAAATAAGCTGTAACAGCCATTTTTCACCCGAACTACTTCACCGATTTTTATGGTTGAGGTTAAATTTTAAATCTTAAGATCCAGCGCAACGCAAAATGGTAATTAAAACGATGTTTTGATAAAGGGCTTCAAAAGTTTGACCCTTAAACATTTGATTTATTTCCAGACAGTGATTTTAATGGTTGACCAACTTTCACATACAGTAACAGCTACTCTGTAGCCTTTCCCGGGAGACGCAAGTGTTCAAATAGTTTCAACCCCCGGCATTCCGAAACGGACCTGATAGCATTTCCCGTTCTTCCTCGGATTGTTGTTGATAGGTTTATGAAAGTATTCTAATTTTCTTAAGGGTGTGTCTGTCTACCTGATTGGCACAACATGTTCTTCATACTAGTGAATGCCCTTTTCTACGAGTTTTTTCTCAGAAGTTTTAATATTAAGAACCCCCTTTTCTGCGACAAATACTTCAAATATTTTTAAACTATTACAGTTTGGATATTTATCCAAATAAATTTCATTTTTTAACGTGCGCCTAAGGCCCCGGCCACACGAGGCGGTTTAACCGCGCGAAGTTAAGCCGCGCGAAGTTAAGGGGTTCGACAAAACATTGAATCAAATTAGAGTGGCCACACGAGGCGAAGTTTAGCCGCATGTACGGTTGAGCCACGCCATGTCGTCCCTCGACCGCGCGAAGTTAAGCCGCGTTGGAGGGGATGACACATGCAGTCTTATGAGAGTGGCCACACGATACGGTTCGACCGTGCGGCAGCCGCGTTGTTGGAGATATTCTTCGGACATTTCCAGTGGTTTTTGAGTTTGTTTCGTGTGTTTTTTACCGGTTGTGTGGTGTTCAAACAATGTTTGATACATACAAACTCCGAACTATGGTTTCGCATGTGCTCGTAAAAGGTTTGGTACACAAAAAATGGTTTTCCGTTATGAAGGGATGGACCTAATGATTTCGGTTAACATTTGGTTCCAGATCACCACACGCTTCTAATGCACAAACTAACATTAGTGTTTCGTTAATGACTACTAAAAAGAGTGAACTGAACTATGTTTTAATAGAGTACTGATACTGGGAAAACCCAACAGGAAGCGGTTTATCCGCCCCGTGTGGCCAGGCACTTCGCGCGAAGATGCCGCGCGGCTTAAATTCGCCTCGTGTGGCCGGGGCCTAAAATAAATGTACGTACTTTAAATTTTATACCATAATCATAAAAAAGATCATAATTCTGAGCAATGTACAGACAAAACTCTAATTTTATTTTAAATAGACTCGTAAAACCAAAAGTAACGATCGGCTAATGTTAAAAATACCTTCCCTATCCCGAAGTGTACCATTTAACGGACTTCCCCACTACCAACAAAAGGAGGAGGTTCTCAATTTGTCTGTGGCGATGTTTTTTTTCTATGTATGTTCACCAATTTCTCTGTAATTCTTTTACCGATCAGCGTGGTTCTACCACCAAAATAACCAGGAGAGTTTCTATTTGGTACCATATATAGTATTATGTTTAAGAAAAATATTTGTTTGGTGAAAAATGCTGAAAACCTCAAATATTCAACATTTATTTTGTTTATATTTTTGCAGAGAAGGAAATAAATAATAATAACATTCCTACAGCTGTTAGTTAAAACCATTTAAATGAAGCTACAGACAGTTTCTTCATGAAACAGTTGCTTCATATTGATTACTTAACTATTTCTTGCCATGGAGCCTAAATTAGTTACATTGAAAAAATGCATTTTGTTTTGGTTACTATAAAAAGGATTTTTCAACGTTTGACCTGATTTGTGTATGATTCTGTTTTGAGTATTGAATGTTTTGACTTATAAAAACATAGTGAATAGCTGTATGATATTGACAATTTAAGGTGTATTGTGAAAACCAAAGCATTCGTAAGAGGTCCAAATATAAATTAGATGCAACTATTTCTTAAACGACATAAGAGGTGTTATATTGAATAATCGTCAATTCTTAAAAGTGTTAAATATTTTAATTACTAAAAATGCATTTGAAGGTGTGGAAGGTTTATTAATATTCTTCACTGTCAATAATATTATGCCTGCTTCGGAAATGGGAAGCTGATTTGTAATTTTGACTACATATTGAGCAAACAAAACCACCTACCCCTTACACCACTTTTAGCTGAACCAATCATATTCGTATTTTTCAAAGGTAAAAATATGTACGTGATAACAACCAATTTTCTACTTTTAAGAGATTTTTTAGTGCTGGTGGCTGAGGAATAACATTCTTATTGTTACAAAAGGCTTGGGACCTTACTGTATTTCGTTTTATAATGTAGAAGTACACCAATTGCAGGAAACGATGATGTCTGGCATTTCAATGTCTCTAGGAAAGACATATAGTTTTTCATTAGGTCTAAAGTAATGGACAATTCATTTTTTTTATCCTAAAATGTTAATGTTTAATACCCACTGATTGTGTAACCTGAACAGGTGACTCAAGCAGTTTAAAAATAATGATTGTTCTGTGGCACTTTTGATTGTTTCAAAAAGTTTTGCTTATCAAAAAACTTCAAGTAATTAATGTATAACAAATTATACAGTCACTAAAAATCATGAAATAATATATTTTTGTAAAAAAATACAACCGACTTCAAATGCTCTAAAAAGAATTAAATAATTTCAATAAAGTAAACTTTTGTATCAGTCAAGTATTTCAAGTATTCAGCGCGGCTCTAACTGCAAAAATATGGATAAAATAAAAGATATTGAGAGTGTATTTTGAAAATCAATAAATTGTCGCTGGATAACATAAATATATCAAAAAATATACTGAACTGTTTTGTTTATATATATCAAAGGAAGTATTTTCTTGTATTTTATGTTTACTTCAGAATGATTGCATAGTGAAAGTAACACACACAAATGTTCTATATAAATAGGAAAATTATTTATTTTAAAATTATGATAGGGAAAAGAAGCTAGGCCTAGTTTAAAATTAAAAAAGTTACTTTTCCAAGTTATAAATATGCAAATACATTATAATCGTTTTAAAGATACTCGTTAATACCACTATAAGATAATCACCTTTAGTTGTTATATATAGTCACCTGCAATGTGGAAATCCTCTTTAGATTTTGTATAAAAAATCATCATAGAGCCGTGCCGACTTAAAATACGTGAGCTTGACTAATACAAAAGTTTACTTTATTGAAATTATTTCATTCTTTTTAGAGCATTTGAAGTAGGTTGTATTTTTTTTACAAAAATATATTATTTACATTAACTTCATATTATCGGTTATTTCCCAACCAGCTCTGACAAATATCATAAAATATGTTTATGTTTTATTTTTTGTCAATTAAATCCTTGTGTAAACAACTAGACTTTTAGACCAATGCAAAACTCCAGATAGTGTATACTACCAAGGGATTAGGCTACTTCATATTACAAAACAAGAGGGGAATTGATAATGAAATAATTAATAAATATATTGATTAACGAAAGGCAGGCTTTTTATCAACATTTAATTGCATTGTATTTTTACCTCTAGTAATCAGAAAATAACCTCCTCCAACGATATGTATTAAATTTCACGATTTGCGCTCATGCATGCGCCGTTAGCTGTTACTGTATGTGAAAGTGAAAGTTGGTCAACCATTTAAATCATTGTCTGGAAATAAATCAAATGCTTAAGGGCCAAACTTATGAAGCCCTTTATCAAAATATTATTTTAATTACCATTTTGCGTTGCGTTGGATCTTAATATTTAAAATTACACCTCAATCATAAAAATCGGTGATGTAGTTCGGGTGAAAAAGGGCTGTTACAGCTTATTTCAGTAGGAAGATAGATAATGTTTATTAAGACAATGACATATCACATCCTTAATACTAGATATTAGAGGGTAATGATTAACCGAAGAGCCGTGTCTTTACATAAAGCAATTAATAAAATCAATTACAACAATGAATATTGGCCGATACGTGGCAGAGCTGACCACGGGGGGTAGATTTCCGGGGGTAGATGTCCGGGGGTAGATGTCCGGGGGTAGATGTCTGGGGGTAGATGTCCGGGGGTAGATTTCCAGTCGCGGGCAGTTTCTCGACCGTGTATAGGCCCCGCCCCTCGTGACGTCAAAATGACGTAGGCGTTTTTTCATGGGGGTAAATATCCGGGGGTAGAAATCCACTACCCCGCCTGATGATGGCTCCACATAGGAGCTGAAACTAGTTGCATTTGCAAAATGCATGGATTGCTTATAGCACATATATAAACATCTTTACAACTGATCTTAGTGAACAACAAAGCATCAGAGTTCATCTTATTTATCCAGAATTAGTAATTTGTTTTTAAGTTAAGTGTAGCAGAACGTATTGGTTTTGTCTCCATCTCATGAGATTGTTCCTAGACTTTCTATAGTTTTGTATTGAATGTGTCTATTTTAGTTTGATTTGACAACAATTGCTTCTACCTTTTGTGATACTACTTGCATTGACCAATGTATAACACACAGCATAAAAGTCACCACAAAAAACGCCTAAGTGATTTGACCAATAATGTTAAACTAATTCAATATGTTTTAGGAGCGGGGCATTCAGACTATAAAACAAGGATATATTGACAAAATAAAATCCACTTTTAAAAAAGATAGAATTCCGGATGCTAAAAAACTTCAGGAAGCAATATTAGGGTTCCAACTGGTTGACTATGACTTAATATTTAAAGTGGAACAAATTTGCACGACGAATGAATCATTCAGGAAAATCAAAGGCTGGGAGAATTGTGATGACGTGATTGCTGGATTAACGGATGCTACCATTGTTAAGGTAAATAGTGATATAGTGTTGTAACTAAACGTTATTACTTTGTTTATAAATACCCCCACCGCAACAAACCTGCCGACTAAGCGAATTTCCATTTGTCTGAATTGATTTTCAATTAAATCTATTTAAATAACATTAGGTTTGCTGCTACAAGGAAACTAATAAAGTGTATTTTTTAGTAAAACATTAATAGCTTAGAATAAAATAAATAAATTTGCCAAGTTTGATCAAATTATATCCATTAATAAGCAAACTAAAACACTTTACAATATTCTCCATAAGAATAAAATGGGAATTTTAAATTTACAATTTTTGGAATTTTCTCCGTTATCAATAACATAAAATACACCGCCGCAGCAAACCTGATGCAGACTAAGCGAATTTTAACTTGTCTGATTAAATTTTTACTAAAATATTTCCATAAATAAGACATATTTATACCCAAATTAAATAACATCAGATTTAACGAGTGCTTAGGTTTGCTGCTACGGGGAAGGTAAAACGTGTTTTTTTTTACGATACGTCAATATTATATGATAAAATAAAGAAATTTGCCATATTTTATCAACATATAGGTATCCATAAAGAAGTAAACTAGAACAGTTTTCATTTTCTCAATAAGAATAACATGGGAATTTAAAATTATACTTTTTTTATTTCCCCGCGACCCTTAGGCATACAACGGTTCTTCAATATACTAAATTATTTTTTTTTTACAAAATGGTTAGGAAAGAAATTCCAAAATGTTGCCGAATTTTTTTGTTTTTTAAGCTCTTTAAAAATATTTAGAGAGAAATTGGGAAATTTTGTGTTATAAGCGTAAAAAATAAGAAAAACCATTTTTTACCCCATAAAACCCCCCGTAAACCCCAGTTCCCATGGTCCGATCAGGCTGGTTCGCGAACTCATTCAAGTTTATCTCGCCTTTAAACCAAATTTAATCAAAATCGGACTTAAATTACTCAAGTTATCGTCCGGACGGACATATATATATATATATACATATAATGGTGTTTTTGGCCTCTGGGGACATCAAAATGAAAAAGTAAATCGGTCCCGGGCCTAGGTCTTACCATGAGACCTATGGTAATAGCTACTTCCCTATAGGGAATTTCACTAAAACAGGATATATTGGTTATACATTGCTGATATTTAGATAGACTAGCGAGCTTACTGTTCATGTATAGATTCTGGATGTAAAAATGTTTAAATTTAAATTTAACTAAATGTAGGAAGACAACAAAAGACGCATGTATTTCAGAGTGGTATAAGCCTATGTGTACGGTAGTAAAATAGTTCAAAGTACTGAATATTTTTAACTAAGCTTGATTTATAAGTAAACTTGCGTGTATGACTGAATGGAACTTGAATTTTTTGTCGGCGGAAAGTTGAAATGGTCAACGTTGTTGTCGTTTTTGAAGCGTATTAACTTTCAAAAATTGTATATTGATACAAAATAATTGTGATTTTAAAACATACATTTAGTCATTCAGTTAAATTCTTTGGTGCTCGATACAAAATATCGACGAGCGTGATAAAATAAAATACTCCGCCGCAGCAAACCTGCAGACTAAGCGAATTTCCATTTGCCTGATTGGATTTACACTAAAATGTCTCCCTAAAAATATAACATTTACTCCCTATTTAAACAGAATTAGTTTAACAAGTACTTAGGTTTGCTGCAACAGGGAGGGTAATGAAGTGTTTTTTGTTGTAAAATGTTAATGGTTTAGTAAGAAAGGAATGTATTTTCCAAATTTGATCAAAATATGTTCATAAACAAGCAAACTACAACAGTTGACTTATTTTCCATAAGAATATCATGGGAATTTTAAATTTACAATTTTTTGAATTTTGTGGAACCATTAGGCGCATAATAACGCTTCAATATACCCACTTATATTTTTATTTGTTTTTTAAGCCCTGCAAAATGAAAATTCTGGCAATAAATATAATTCAACTTTAATAGGGTGACATGCCCTGTGAATGGCCGCTGCCTATGAATGTCCGTTTCACTCTAAATAATCAAGAGTTTAATATAGAGTTTAATATAATAAGAGTTAAATTAATACAGGAGTGAAAAAAATTAGTTTAGAATACAGATATTACTCTATTCTTCATATTAAATCGTCAGTTGTTAATTATTTTTGTCTATTTTAATGATTTATCTTGGACATGTTTTGAATTTTCGTTTTTAGCTTCTGCCACTATAAGAACTCTACAGGCAAGGCATATTTTATTACCTTATTTTTGTGAAAAAAAGCTGTTGAAATGGTGATTTATTTGGCTAGTATTTAATATTAAGAGTGTATACTAATCTAAAACTATATGTTTTTATACGTAAGCCAGCAAATAAGTTTTTATTCTAGCGGTCATATACTGGAACAGATTTCTCGGCTAGGGTCATTTACTGGGTTTGGACTCTCAAAATGTTCAGAAATTATTAAGAAATATAATTATCGATATCAGAATAAAAGGATAATTCATTTTCTTTGCCCTAACCGGTGAATGGCCGGACTCTATCGAAGTCATCCACTTATTTTTACTAGTAAACCTTTGTCATTGAAATTGTTATTGATTGGTGTTGTATTCAGTCTAAAGTTACGATATACCCCGATCGAATATCCTCTCTGGCAAGTTAAGACGTTTTCCCATCAGCTAACTAGGCCTACCTAGGTTTCTCTTTTACATTACATATAAAATGTGATATAGTTCTGATAATGTTTTTTATATATCCTTAGGCTTTTCTTTTAAACGTTGTTAACATTTTTAAACAATATTATAAATCCCCTTTTTGTATATTACTGATTTTATAAGTGATTTACTAAACCTTCCGAAGTCGGTCATTTACTGGCATATGACTGGTCATTCACTGGCATGACATCGGTCAATTACTGGACTCATGACTTTGGTGTATAAAGAGGCAATTCTTACATACGTAATTGATCTTTTATGAACAATTTATGATATAGGGCAAACACTTAAATATCAACCAAAAAGTAGGTATAATAATATATAGCATTAATACACTAATTTGAGAGCATTATTAAGTTAACAAAAAAATTTCATCTTAACCGGTCATTCACAGGGCAAGTCACCTTAGATAAATTTTCTAAAAAGCTTATGTTGCTCCACTAAAGAATAAGACAGGGTTGGTGGTTACAGAAGCCATTAAGGCGATTCTACCAAAGGGGGTTAAACACATTTAATCTGACAATGGAAAAGAATTTTTTAATTAACATTTTTGCAAACTAAACATTAATCACTATCATGCTGGGGCTGCAATTGTGGAAAGTTTCCGGAGAACTTTAAAGAATTGGTTATATAGGGAATTTAGTACTCAGGGGAGTTATACATGGTTGGATTTACTTCAAAAGTTAATTAGAAAATATAATAATAAGGTACACAGGTCTATAGGAATGAAGCCTAACCAAGTTAGTGTTTTAGAATAGTAGGTGATAGTGTAAGGGTTTCCAAGTATAAACATGTGTTTAGTAAAGGATATAGCCTACCCTGAATTGGACAGCGGAGCTATTTACAATAGCAGAAGTTAAGAATACAAAGCCTGTGACTTATGTTTTGAAAGGTGAAAATGGCAATGTAATCAGGGAATGGTTCTATACAGAGGAGTATTTAAAGACCAGGTATAAAGACATGTATTTGGTAGAGAAGGTGATTAGGAGGAAGGGTGATTTGTTGTATGTCAAATGGCTTGGATTCCCAAGTAGCCAGAATACATGGATTTCAACAAAGGATATTGCCATTTCACCGCGTCACCGCTAGAGACGAGAAGCAAGAAGCGCGCCCGAGTTCTGGTGCAAACCTCGCACTGTCAAGTCGATGATTTTGAAAATATACGTGGGAATGGATGGGGATGTGAAATGTCTATGGAGTTGTACAATAGTATGGAACATTAATATAGGATAGTATAGGCTGTGGGCAGGATAAAAAAAAATGGCAAAAAATGCCCACCGTGTTATTTTTATGGAAAAAAACGCTCAAAGTGAGGTATCTTTGCTATATTGCCCCTACTGAGAATCAATTGAAAGAGGAGATTCTAAAGTTTTTTTTAAATATTAGTTAACGCACCCATTCCCAACCTTTTTTTCATGGCGATAGTACTGTTTAGGGGGTTGTATATAATATGGTTTATAGAATAGCCTATGTTTTACTACTAATAATTTCTTTCTCGTTGTTTTAAATATACAGGGTGTTTTTTTTTTTAACTTGCATCTTTATTTATGTAAAAACCGCAATAGATAGAAATATGCAGTTGGCGGGAATCATCTATTGACGTAGGGGGCACAATTTTTTTGAATTCAACATTACATTCACATTCCCCCCTTTCCCCCCTTGCCACCAACTTAATTTTTTTTAAATAGCAAGGTACCGCTTGTGACATATAAAATAAAAGAGCATGAAAAAAGAAAATGTTTGATGAAAAAAATTGAAAATTGGTTCATAAATTTGTGAGATATTCCCCCCTCCCCCCCCGGAACTTATTTTTTTTTTAATAGCAAGGTACCCCTTTTGACATATCAAATGAAAGTGCATGAAAAAAGAAAATTTTTGGTGAACAAAAATTTAAAATCGGCTCATGAATTTGTGAGATAATCCCCCCCCTTTTCCCCTACCCATAACTTGTTTTTTAATAGCAAGGTACCCGCCCTTGTGACATATCAAATAAAAAATAAATTTCACCAAACATTTTATTTTTTCATGCTCTTTCATTTGATATGTCACAAGGGGTACCTTGCTATAAACAAAATTAAGTTCCGGGAAGGGGGGGGGGAATATCTCGCAAATTTATGAACCGTTTTTCAATTTTTTCATCAAACATTTTCTTTTTTCATGCTCTTTCATTTGATATGTCACAAGGGGTACCTTTCTATTTAAAAAAATTAAGTTGTCGGCAGGGAGGAAAGGGGGGAATGTGAATGTAACGTAGAACTCAAAACAATTGGGCCCCCTACGTCAATAGATGATTCCCGCAAACTGCATATTTATATCTATTGCGGTTTTTTCATAAATAAAGATGCAAGTTAAAAAAAAGCACCCTGTATACACTTATATTTAATATTTACCATCTTTAATATTTTACTGTGTCTTTTTCAAACATAATGTACTACTTCTATTATTTTTCAGTACAGTGATGTACAAAACGACGTAGCAGGAGAACCGGAAGATGACTTGAAAAAACTTGAAGAACTTCTCGAAACTGAAATGAGGAACGTGCTTACAGTTGTATACACTCAGAGTTTGGGTGATCTTCACTGCCCGATGGCTAAAATTGGGAAACCCAGCAATCCAAACCCCTAAACGCCAAGGTTATGTACAACCTTAAACACTTTAAAGGTTTTTTTATGGGATGATAAATAAAGATATTTATCATATTACCTGACACATTGTATACTTTTCCCCCTTTACTAGCTCACTTTTATTTATAAAACGATAAATCCTCTTGAAAACGATAGTTTTCAAGCTTATTATCACTAAAAATTACAACGACCACTGCAGAAATACAACCAAACCTCAAAACGGGAATTCATGTTTTTATTTAGCTGTTACATTTAAAAGATAACAATAATATAAAATTATAATTTTGTGTGAGGTGGGGTCCTTTGATTTGGCGTATTTCGGATCAGTGTGTACAAATTCAATTAAATGAGGGTCTAACAGGCCTATAAATTACCCCATCTCTCTTAACATTGCCACGTTAAAATTTCTTTGAAAGTATTTTATATTTTGTAAATGTGTAAACCTCGTATTTAAAACTCTATTTTCCCCAAATACGGGTAGACTTTTGTATCTGTTGGCACAAACAACCGAATGAAAATATCGATCGATATATCGATTACTCGATGTATAGTTTGGTTAGTTAGGCAAGGTTAAGTTAACCTCACCAATCTAATGATATATCGAATGGAACAATCGAATAATCGATATTTTCATTCGGTTTTTTGTGCCAACAGATACAGAAGTCCACCCGATACATTGTATACCACAATTTTAATACTGCTGCGTCTTTAGGTTTAATCTTTCGCAATATCTAAAGCACGCATTTCACTAAACACCATAATTGCACCCTTTCAATTGCTTCACTGAATTTGCATCAGAATGAGGGACATTGTGTTGGCCGACAATCACTGGTCACTGTTATTGTGGGGGGGGGTGTAGGGGGGGGGTAATTTAGGGAACCCCCCTGGCGCAGGTGTCGCTGTAGCGACAGTTGTCACTTTGGAATGGTTAATGCATTTGAAGGGTAAGGGGGATAAACAACAATGCGCTTGAAGGAGCGCTACTCTTAGTTTGACTAATTTTAATATATACATCTGCTAGATTTGTTTTGAGCTTAACTTAAGTGTATGATAGGAATAGAATGTCATTTTTGCTACAAATTAGTTTTGCTGATTCAGAGAAGTGAGGTCCGCTTTTAAGTATTAATAATATTTTCATAGCAGCTAAAGAAGTAAGTCATGTAAAAGATATTCCAATTATAAATATAGTCAAATAGAAATATTCCTGTCATTATGTAGTCTCCTAAGTTAACTAAAAACTTTTGCTATGCATTTTGATTTCGCTCATATATCTGTGGTGATTGAGACCTTTGAAGTAATCTCATTATTTAATATAAGTTTCCATTGTCATATGAACTTACTAAATACAATTAATAGTAAATCCACCTCTCGTTTTCAGTAAACGGTTAACTTACCTGTGATATTTTTGTCTAGAAACGGTTAAAACACCTTAAATGTAACCTTTGAAGATTCGTATGCAATATGTTCTTACCATCGATGTATAATAACTCTACGTTCTTACACTAATATTGCCGAAGCTGAAGCTTATTTTCTAATTAAAACCAACATATTCAACCCTCTCGTTTTGCCCACCCTAAAACTTCACAGTACCAGAATCAGTTGGAATGCCACGAATCAATACTTATGAGCCTCCAGTATGCAATACTCATCGCTAAATTACCAAAGCATGCGGCGTAATATCAAACACCTGTCAGATGCGGCATGGCATCCGTCATTCGGTACAATCCAAGCAGTACGGCCCCCGACGTGCCCGGCATTCTCATGCTAATGCCCGGCCCCACCCCCGCAGCTGCCCCAGATTAGAACGTCACACCTTTTCATATAATCTGTAATGGGCTCATACAGCCGTGCCCGGGGCCCATATTTTGGCAGCTGGGCCCCAAGTAGGTGTATTATGCGAAGGACCCCCACTTCCCTTTGTCTAGCATTCGCCGGATTCTAAAATTCCCATCCATTGTGTCCGGGGTTCGGATCGCCGTTATCCGGTATATTGGTCCATTGATCACCACATGTAAACAGATTTTGTTATTAGTTTTGACCCCTAAATATGCTAGGGTGTTCACACCATTGTCGTACTGGTCGTGTGGCGTATATTGGTAATAGTCAATTGGTTATTAGAGTATAACTTATGATCGACACGAGTCGGCCGAAAATGCATTTGCCCGAATTGTCAGTTTTGACCTCGAAGGGGAATAGACCAAGGACATGAACCAGCTAGTGTCAGGTTTTCTTTTCAAAGATTTCCCATTAGCTCATCAAAATCTGCAGACAACAAACTATATTTTCGTTCGTTTAACACCAAAATCCTAATTGTAAAAAAATGCTGAGATTAGTTTTAAACACCCGAAAAGCTTTTAGCTTTTCTCAGGTTCAAACCAGCTACCGTCTCTAATTCTGATCTGCATTTTTTTTAAGTTTATAATAAGTTTTGATTGTTCAGCAGTTGGGTCTACTTCGCAGGTTTATACAATAAGCAGATATTTATTTCATATTAGTTAATCATTAATTGTATATGATAAAAAAATAAAACATTTCGTAACAACTTATTTACAATTTTTAAGTTACATGTTACACTGGATTATTACGAAGATTGTGTTCGTTTCATGAAAAGTTTTAGGTCTACAATATCTCCTTTTAAACTAACCCAAAACAATAAATTGTGTTTATAAAATTTGAAAGAGGAAAGTAGGGTAAGAGAATTTTCCATTTATTTAACTGTTATAAAACACATTTATAACTGATCGGAAACACTACTGAGCACATTAGAAGGGACACGACACAATACTTAGCACATGAGAAGAGACACGACATAATACCTAGCACACGAGAAGGGTCACGACACAATACTTAGCACATGAGAAGGGACACGACACAATACTTAGCACATGAGAAGAGACACGACACAATACTTAGCACATGAGAAGAGACACGACACAATACCTAGCACACGAGAAGGGTCACGACACAATACTTAGCACATGATAAGAGACACGACATAATACCTAGCACACGAGAAGGGTCACGACACAATACTTAGCACATGAGAAGGGACACGACACAATACTTAGCACATGAGAAGAGACACGACATAATACCTAGCACACGAGAAGGGACACGACACAATACTTAGCACATGAGAAGAGACACGACATAATACCTAGCACACGAGAAGGGTCACGACACAATACTTAGCACATGAGAAGGGACACGACACAATACTTAGCACATGAGAAGAGACACGACACAATACCTAGCACACGAGAAGGGACACGACACAATACTTAGCACATGAGAAGAGACACGACATAATACCTAGCACACGAGAAGGGTCACGACACAATACTTAGCACATGAGAAGGGACACGACACAATACTTAGCACATGAGAAGAGACACGACACAATACTTAGCACATGAGAAGAGACACGACATAATACCTAGCACACGAGAAGGGTCACGACACAATACTTAGCACACGAGAAGGGACACGACACAATACTTAGCACATGATAAGGGACACGACACAATACTTAGCACATGAGAAGGGACACGACACAATACTTAGCACATGAGAAGGAACACGACACAATACTTAGCACATAAGAAGGGACACGATACAATACTTTTTGAAAATTGAATATATTGAACAACTCATGAACACCTAAACACCATCTGTTTATAAATTTCAGTTTACACAACATTTTGGCTACATAACTTCATAACTAGTTGTAACATTTCCAAACAATCTCATAATTTGATCGGTTATTGCATGAATAGAATAATGAAAACTTCGTCTACATCAAACACACACAATCCTTTCCCAGTTTGTGATATAACAAGCTAGAAACATTAAGCTACTTTCGTTGCCCAAATTTACGTTTTATAATGAGCACATCGTAAAGCTGTCAAGTTTCCCTAAATTAAAACCTAGACCAATAACTAGGAACACAAACAGAATAAATCACTGTGTAACTAGAGATAGATGATCCAAGGAATCGAAGATGTAGTTCTCACAGGATTTACATATATTTACACTTTGGGACTCTAGTAGTAAATAATACATGACCTTGAAATCCACTCGTTATTTCTTTTTATTGAACAAAGAAGGCCTGATCGCGAGAGGTTCTGAAGACTTCTTTGAAAGGCTTTCTACAAAAGAACAGCTAATCTAAATAATTAATGGAATCGTCAAAGACCAATCTTAAATAATAATAAAATAACTTAGGTATTTATTATAATTTGTTTGTCTACAGCAAATTTTTTTAACTATCGTTATTTGGTAATTTATTGTGAAAATGGGATTACTGAATGTTGTCTAAGAATGTAATTTGATTGCTTCAACAGATAATTTGCACTATAAATTATTATGAATTAATTTTATTTTCAGGTTCTAAGAAATTGGGGTATATTTAGGTGATTGATGTCATAGACTACTTAATTAATTTTAAAATTGTCATTTGTAATTATAGTTATGAAATAAAAATCATTATAAATCCTGCCTTCGATTTCGTTAGATATACCTTTACTAGAAAACATTTGTATGTGTGATTTTTAAAATTTCCTTTTTAACACCTAGATGTGAAATTTTTTCTTAGGAAACCTTACCAATGAAACATTTTTTGGTTACACCATGTAATTAAACTATTTACCCTTTTAAGAATTAGCATTCATTACAAAAATTCTACCAAAGCATGTAGCCTACAAACAATATACAAAACCCTCATAACCGTTTATTAGAACAGCTGTACAATAAATCTGAGAAAGATCCAACCCCCGTATTTCAATAAAGTCAATACAGAAGCTCCCCTCAGTTTTTTATATCTAAACCGCTTCAATATTGCGCTGTCACGAAGTTTAACTAGAACAAAGATGGATGATGTTTGGAATACCGTAATCTATTTATCAAACCGAGGCATTCCGCTAATATAGGGGGAGTAACTAATCGCAAAAACCACATTTCATAACCTGCCTTGGACGTTATTGATGGCGAAACCCCTGGATGCTTCCCTAGTACATGAGTCATCAAGTTGGCGAACATTGGTTGAAAAACAAAGGTTGATGTTTGTG